CGTTGAGCGCGTTCTTGGCTGCCTCCGCCTCGGAGCGGCTGTCGAAGCTGACGAAGCCCACGGGCTGTGGAGGAAGGACAGGAGCCATCAGTCAGGTTCCTGGGTAGCACAGAGGAGAGCCCCTCACCCCAGGGAATGGTGGGATGGTTACACCATGTGGAGCAGCTCCTACCTGCTTGGAGGTGAGTTTGATGAGCGACCCTTCGTACCCCTGCAAGGAAAGGATTAAAAAAGGTTTTTGGTGGAGATCCCCACAATTAAATACTAGTGACTGAATAAACTGACTGAATTAGACTTCAGTGGGTTCCCACATGGTGGGATGATGGGTTCCCAAGTGGTTTGGGGCCATGGGGCTGGGGCAGAGGCCAACCCCATGATTTCAGCCCCCCTTTCCCTCCCCAGTGTGATACCTTAAAGGGTCTGAAGAGCAGGTAAAGTTCCCGGGGCTTGATATCCAGAGGCAACCCGCTGACAAAGAGTGTCCTCACCTGGAAAAGAAGAAAGGTTCCTGGGGACCCTCTCTTGTCCCTAACTTGGGGATACACCACGCTCCCTCTAGCCAGAGGGACAATGCCAGCCCAAGGGGAGCAGACAAAAATCCAATGTGCTGGTGTTGCATCATGCTTGAGTGATGCTGAATTTTTGGGAGGGGAGGCCCTATCCTTCATGTGGCCATGGAGGAAGCTGCTAAGGCACCATGGAAAGGTAGCAGGGACCTGTCCTCACCCCAGCAGTTCTCTCCAGGTTAAATAGCTCACAGAATCCCAGCACCTTCCTACCCTGTCTGGCCAACAGGATTTCTCCCATCATCCCCAGCAGATCCTGGACAATGCCTATTGTCTCAGTTTAATTGCAGCAGCTCATTAAGGACTGGGAGAAGCAAACACCAGCTCTTCCTCCTGGAGGAAAAGCCCTGGTTTAGAGGGGGCTGGATTTAAACAACTTGTGCCTGGCTTGTAAAAGTCACCTTTTAAGGGGTTTTAACCCTTTTTAGGTGGATCTAATGTTTATTGTGGTGCAGCATCCTCAAAGCTGGGATGTTTGGCAGAAATTCTGCTCCCACCCCCCTGAGGGGGATGTGGGGCTCCTCCAGGATGGGCAAACCCTGTGCTGGGATGGTTTTGCTTTACAACCAGCTTGTAACCAGGAGAGGAGTGTGGGGAACTGAATCTGTTGTTCCTCTCCTCATCCCCAAAATCTCATCCTAACATTTTGAGCTGTTGAAGGGGAAAACCTCCATGTATTTTATTTCATTTTTTTGGCCAGGCACCCTGCCTGCCCCATTCCCTGGGAAAGAGACATGGGAAACAGCCAGAAACAGCCAGCCCAGGCCTATTCTTTTGCTGACATTTCTTCTTTCTCCTGCAGATAAGCTATCTCCCCCATCTCCCAGCCTGGGAGCAGCAAACATTCCTGCTTTGTGGAACAAAACCTCTGGCTGACCTATATCTATTAAATAACAAAAGGTACTCAGCTGTTTGCACACAGCCCTTGTGTCAACAGCCCCGGTGATACCCATCCTGGGTGCCAGCATTATCATCACCATCATCACCACCATCATCATCATCCCTGCGGGTACCAGCATCCAGGCTGGATGAGATCAGCAGAGAAGGGGTGTCCTCACCCCTTCCTGAGCCAGGGCTACTAGCCTGTCCCCTCTATTGGGACCATCCCCCAGAGCTCCTCAGGGGACCCCTGCCAGCTTTCTGCTTGTCTGCTGGGACCAGGGAGTGATGGAGCATCCCACAGTGTTCAGTGCTGCCCCAGCCCCCAGTGGAGACATTGCCCCAGTTTCTCCTGGCGGGGGCTAGGGAGGGATTCTCCTGGAGGATCTCCCCTTGTGTCCATGAAATTCAACCTAAAGAAAACAACCTTTTCCTTTCCTAGGGTGAAAAATACTGGCTTTCACACAGGTCCTCCTGAGCACGGCTGCTGTTCAGGGAATCCCAGGGAATTGGCTCTCCAGACACATGCACCCTCCCAGGTGGGTTTACATCCTGAGCATCCCTGCAGGGTGTCCTCTGTCTCCCCCATCCCTGGCTTCCTGCCTCTCCTCTCCCTGGGGAGCTTCAGGAAACACCAGGGACCAGTGGGAGGGAGTGGGGAACCCTCTGCCAGTTTGCATCCCTGAAATCCAAACCGTGCATGCCCAAGCCTGCCAGACCATTTGTCCCCAAAGCCACATGGGAGAGAGACAGAGATGAAAGATCCCAAGGAGCCCTCCGAAATTCAGCCCACAGAGGAAGGGCTTCTCTTCTGTAATGACTTTGTTTTCTTTGCAAGTTCAAATGCGGGTCGGCCAAGTTTGAATCTGTAAAATTATACAGTGGCCAGAGGGAGAAGGGCTCTAAAGGATCCCCCAGCTGGATTCCAGCCCCAAAAGGGATTTTGGGGCCCAGGGCAGGGGATGGGTATGAGCTCCTGGGTGCTCCCCATCTGCGCCCCACAAATGCACCCAGCCCCAGGGATGTTGGAGTAGGTCCTACATGAACAGCATCCTTTTGCTGGATAACAAACAGGTGGGATGGCAGAGCAAGGGAGCATCCTTGGGGATAATCCTAGCAGGCTGCACAGATGCCCTTTTGCCAAGGGAAAGATTCTAGACAGAAATATTACTCCTGCCCTTAAATGGAAGGGCAGCTTTGGCCCACAGGGAGGTAGTCCAGGTTTTTTGTGCTGAAATCCCAGGGATTCAGTCCCCATCCTCTAACAGAAACACTCCTAGGGCAAAATCCTTCCCTGGAAAAAAAAAAAAAAAAAAAAAAAAAGCCTTATCAGAGAAATGGCCAGGCAGCAGGCACATATCTGTTCTTCCACAGGGAAGAATTACTCCTTCAGAGAGGTGGATCAGGCACAGCATCTGCTCCCAAGGATGTCATGGGGCAGGGCCAGACTGACAGCTCTCCAGCAAGGATTAAAGGGCGCTGGAGCATGGGATTCCCCCAGCCTAAACCCCACCGTATTTTTGGACAGCCTGAGCTGTTTCAGTTCTGCTGTATGAACATCTTTCAGTTTCTGTTTGGTGGAGCATTTCTCCATCTCTCCTTCTTCCTGGGGCGAAACCAAAGATTTTTTAAAAGTCATCATGCCAATGTTTGCTCCAGGAGGAGCTCAAAGGTGACCACCTTGACTTCCTTCCATGGGGATGGCAGCCATGGGACTGCTCCAAGTCCCTTTCCACATTACTCCTCTGCTCCTGCTGCTGCACCCCACAGCTCCCAAATTTCTCAGGGCTGCTGGATCCTACCTATGTTGCCTCACTCCTGATATGTCCCCTCCTGGCTTTTTGTTTTTCCTGCAGGAAGTCTGCCCTTCGTCTGTGCTACTCTCCTCTTCCTTGGAAATCATCTCCATCCCATGCCTGGCCTGTCCCCTCTCGCCTTTGCATCCCACGTCCCAGTCTGTTGTCCCTGAAATCCTGTATCTCATCTTGGGTCAGTTTAAGGGATGCTGGAAAGGATCTGTGGAGGTTAGGGCTGAGGACATGCAAGGAGAGGCAAAGATCTGGGCCAGGAGGTGACTGGGGTCTCCAGAGCATGAATCAAGGATGACCCCAGAATCGAGAGGTCCATGATGGAGCACCAGCAGCCCTCCTCCTCCTCTTCCTCACATGAAGCTACAAGCTAGGTTTGTCTCCTGCAGGTAAGGAGGCACCGGGGGGCATTTGCTTGGCTTGGACACCCATCACACAGCAGTGCCCAGAGGGATCCCAGAGGGATCCCAGCACCGTCCTGGTCCCCTGTCCTGCCCTGCCCTGCCCAGACCAGCCCCGGTAAACGTTAACAGGCCGTGGGGAGGCGGGAGGCGTCCGGGTGATTCATCCACGAGGCATTTAATCGCCTCCTTCAGCCCAGCTCCCATCCCTCGTCCTTCCGTCCGTGCGTGNGGCCGTGACATGAAAGTTTGATAAGGAAGAGTTAATCCAGGAGAGGAGGCCATTCCATGAGTCTGTAATTATTTATTTTCAGCTTTCACACATAAACCATCAAGAACAGGATGTGGTTATCTCCTGCATCGGCAGGATTTGGTCCCGACCTGCGACTCACTGTCAGTGCAGATCCCTGGGAGAAAAACCCGGGATGTTCTATAAAAACCAGCTCTATCTTCATCCCAAGGGGTGCGGTCTGAGAGGGAACATCTGGCCTCACGGGGAGTGCAGGGTATGTGGGGAGGCTGGGTGGATTTGGGGGTCAGGGGTCTGTCCTGGTTTAGGGCAAATCTGGGAGGGAATCTTCACAAGGGGGCCTCTCCAGAAAGCAAACCCACACGGCCCCTCCCTGCAACCGGTTCGGGAAGAATTTCTTGGAGAGAAGTGGAAAGAACCTGTTTATTTAACAGGCTCTGCACCCCCCGGCACACAAAATGAACAATACTGGGTGACACCACTCTTTCACCGCTCGGACAAAGATGACAAAATCAGAAAGTCTCTCTCGGGGGTGGTCGCTCTGTTCTCAGTCCCTCTGGCACTGGGGCAGCTGCTGCAGCCACAGAGTGCGAACTCTCGGTGTTCCCAGGTCCCAGTCCAGAGCAGGTTCGAGTGGTTCCAAAGAAAGGAAAGGAGAAAGAGTCCAGGGAAAATTTGGACTGTTTAGCTAAACTAGCTAATGAGCAGAAGCAAGAGCAAGCAGAAGCAAAGCAGAAGCAAAACAGAAGAAAGAGCAAAAGCAAAGCGAAAGGCAAAAGCAAAAGCAGCACCATGTACTGCCCCGTCTCGGTGTCTTGCCAGCCATGGGGGAGCAGCTGATAGGAAACTCAAACAAAACTTGCACACTTCAGAGCCATTCTTGAAGGCACAGAACATGATATCCAGCATAAGCAGAACACAGGGATGGGGATACAAGCATCACAACGTCACCCTAGGACAGGGTCTCACTGCAGCAGTTGGATCTCCAGACCTCCCTCTTTGCTTCCCTCTCATCAATTGCCCAGGCAGGACTAGAGGGGATCACTTCAGCTGGATCTTCTCCTCTTCCTCGGCTTCTCTTAGGACCCTAGAGGATGATAAGATGCTGAATTGTCATTTTTCTAGGGACAAAGGGAAAGCTGCACTGCAGGGAGACCCCACAGAGCTCTACAACACTCCCAGCAAAAGTCTGGGATGGGGCTGCAAAGCAGAGACCGCAACCCAGCAGTGGCAGGAATGAAACCTGAGGTGCAGCCTGGAGCTGAGCTTCCAAGGATAAGAACCTTGGCATTGCGCAGCAGCACCAGCGGGTTTGGGGTAGTGACATCCCAAAAAAAGTGTGTGTCCTTCCTGAGGATCAGACAGTATCCTAAGCACACAGGGCTTTCCACTCACGGGGTGCACGGAGCGCTTTTCCTCCTCTTGTCACCCGTGTTCAGCATCCGTCACAGATCCCAAGGTCTCAGGGCCACCCATCCCTCTTTGTCCAAGTTAATGATTCAAACGGTCTGGATCTCTGAGGCCCTGCCAGCCAGGCCCCAGGGGGCAGGCCAAGGATGCTTGCCCTCTGGGGTTAATCATTCTCCCAGCTGCTGCCCCTGCCTCCATAAAAACCCCGGGATGGGAGTCCCGGTGCCGCTTCCCGGCAGGAGGAGGAGAGCCAGCTCCAGCATGAGGGCAGCCCTGGCCCTGCTGCCGCTCTTGGCCGCTGCACAAGCCTTACACCGAGGTAAGGGAGGTGATCCCGGGGCTCTGCTGGCCCTGGGATGAGGAGGACAGGGGTGGGGCCTCAATTCCAGAGGTTTTCAGTGGTCTCCCCTCTCCCAGCCTGCAGCCAAACCCCTGGGCAGGAGCAGAGAGGGAAGGGAAGGGCTGGGAGGATGGGTTGGGATCCAGGATGCCACTGTGGGGTGGTGCTGGAGGAGGTGGGATGGAGAGAGGACAGAGCCATAGGGACTGGCGTTTTCCTTTCTAAAGGAAAAGAGGATTTCCTGACCCCCCCTTGGGGAGAACCATTCCTGTGCAAAACTCACCTCTTGGTAGGATCGATGCTCTGCCATCCTTTGCTGCCTTCTCAGCTCCACAGGGAATCCCCCAGCTGCCAAAAACCACCTAAGCTTTACCTCTCCCACATGGCTTTGTGCAAGTGAACACAAATGCCCCAAGCTGGGCCTGGGAGCCGATGTTCCTGCTGGGAAAGAGACACAATTTTTCCATGGCTTCTCCTATTCTGGAACCCCCTGCCTTCACCCTGTTCTTCCCTTGCCACCAGAGGGATGTGACCCTCAGAGTGATGGCCCAAAGTCCGGGTTTTGGGGAGGTGACCCTGCCCCAGGCTGCAATCCCAGGGAACACCAGGATCACTGTTTACCCTGCTGCTGCCAAGGTCTGGCCCCACAGAGTCTGAAGGGAATCGATCCTGTTTTTCCAGGGAGGGCAGCACTGCTGGGAATGTTTTCACTCCTGGCTGCCCCGTGGACCTGGCCCCAGATGGTTTCCCAGCCCTTATGGTTTCCAGGCCCTGCCAGAAAATCCAACCCCACATATTCCATACTCCAAACCTGCCATATAATTAACCTGTAGCTCTCCCAGCTCCAGAGAGGGTTTTCTCCCTGCCCCTTTCCCTGGCTGCAGAGCTGGAGCAGCAGCCTGGACACCAGGGGTGCTTCTCCCAGCCTGGCTGTGACAACATCTCCCCAGGGACCACCTGGAAAAAGTGGTGGAAAAATTGGAAAAAGAAGTAATGGAGTGAAAAAAATGAACAAACCCCAAGTGAATAAAGCAGTGTGTTCCGTGGTGACAGAGCATTCCTTGCTCCTTACTCACAATTCCTCCTTCTCCTGCACTTTCAGGGAAAGCTTATGTCCGGGAGAAGGTCTGCCAGGAGTACAAGATCCTGGGCAAGGAGAACTTCAGAACCCTGTAGGTATCTCCTGCTGCTGGTGCCCTCCCAGGAGCCCTGACACCTGAGCCAGGAACAGAAAACAGTAAATAAAAATCATGGAAAAGGGCAGATGGATTCAATTCATCAAGAAGGGGAGATGCAATTTAACCCCGGGCTCTGATTGCTATTAGCAGGAGAAAAGTTTGATTCCTTGTTGAATTCCTAAAAAAACCAATTAAGCACCTAAATGATTAAGAATTCTCACAGAGCTGACACACAGTCCCCTGTAAGTGGCAGCCCCCAGCCTGGAAGCTGTTCCAGTTCTTTCCTGGCTGTTTTCCAAGGAATATGCTGTGATTTCTCTCTGCACCACGGCCAGCACTGTTAAACCCATTTGGGCAGAACAGTCCTGTGAGGTGATTTCTGATTGAAGATAAAAGCTCACCTGGCTCTCCCTGTCGTTGCTGCCAGAACCATCATTGACACCAGCCGGAAATATTCCAACGGCACCTTGCAGGAGATCGGCCACCTCGTGCGGGAAATCGTCTCCCTGGCCGAGACCTGCTGCGCCGACGGGGCCGACCCCTCCTGCTACGACGCCGGGGTGAGCCTGACCCAAACCATCCAACAGACCCCANCTCCCATTCCCGGCAAAGCGGGGTGCACTCCCGCCCCGCCGGGATTAGTCCTGGCATAAATAGTCTCTTGGCTAATGGAGCGTCTTCCTCGGCTGGGTTTAGATTGCCGGGCTGTGTGTACGCATGCCTTGAGCCCGCAAAACTCCCCGACATAAACAAGGCTGAGGCCGAGGGATGCCGGCTCCTCCGCCCGGGGGATGCGGGAGGAGCGGCACACGTCTCCGGCCTCTCCACCCGGAGCCGCTTTGCTGGAAAATCGCGGTTCTCTCACGTCCGGTGAAGGACGGGAGCACAGAAACAGCCCTGGGGGAAAAGCGAGTCCAGAGCTGCCGGGGCTGGAACGAGGAAGCGGCAGAGGAAAAGGCAGTGAGCAGCCAAGGGAGCAGATGGGGGATTGCAACAGAGCGGAGGAGCGGCGGGATCAGGCGCGGGTCACACTCGTCCCTGTCCTGCCTGGAGCTGGCTTCCAAACCCTCCGGACCCCGCGCTTTAAGGAGGAAAGGAAGCAGGAGCACGGGGAGATGCAACACAGGGGCCACGGGGACAGGTTTTATCCACTCGCTGGGCACATTCCCGCTGGGAAGCATCCCTGGGGTCCCCTCCCCATGGCACGGCTCCCCCGGGATGAGGGATCTGGCATGGGATGGGGACTAGGGCCTCGAGCCGGGCTCTCCGCAGCCACTCCGCTACCAAATAAGGCCTCCCCCGAGCCTTTCACATGCCGTTCTCGCCCGGCCAGAGTGACGTGACCGCCTTCCCAAATTGTTCCGGCTCCTCCGTGGGGAAGCCCCTGGCCCACGGCTCCCCTGCACGGGGGGAGAGGGGAGCACGAGAGTGACGGGGAAGCCACCCGGCGTGCCAGGGGGGAGCGGGCATGAAGTGGGGGCTTTTCCCACCTGGCAGCACCCTGAGTGACTTCTCCCTCTCCTCTTCTGAGGGAACAGGAGGCTGGAAGGCAAGCACTGGGAAGGGGGAGGTGAGGCACAGTAGCTGGACAACCCTTTCCCTGCGCTTGAGCAAATAGGACAGCACCGGCTCCTCCAGCCTGGGCTGGAACAAGTCCTGCAGGGAAAATACCTGCTTGGCACCGGAGCAGTGCGGCTGGCAGGGAGGAACGGGCATTGCCCACCTCGTGTGTCCCCGGCACCTCCCAGCCGTCCCCTCCGGGTGCTCCCCATGTCCGGCATCACCGGGTCAGGGGGTCCCCAAGGATCAGCAGTGCACCAGCCAGCCCCGGGCCCTCCGGATCCGGCAGGAGCGGAGCGAGGGCTGTCCTGGTTTTGCCCCGTGCAGGGTTCCATGCTTTTGAAAAGGCAACAGGCCTCCATGGGTGTCACCCTCTGCCATGCCCAGCAGAGCCGCAGCATCATCTCCCACACACCCCGCAAGGCCTCCAGGGGAAAGAACTCCCCGTTTTTGAGGAATCTTTGGGAAGTTTGAAGCCAGAGCCACCTCTGGAATTAAGCAAATGAAGGCAGGCGGCAGCGGGCGGTGGAGCTGAGGTGATCGATCCCAGCGTTGGCCACCAAGCAGGGAGCTCAGCAGGGAGCTGCTGGAGCAGCCCAGCCGGGTGGAGGCTAAGGAGGAGGAGGAGGCGATCTCAGATCGGAATCTTCCCGCTCTCACCCTCACAAAGTCCAAATTCCCATCTCAAGGTCACGGGCAAAACCAGGAACTTTGCGGCTGGAATGAAGAAAACCAGCTCTCACCGTGGTGGGGTGTGGGGTTGGTCTCCCGTGGGGATTGGAGCGTTTCGGACATTTTTGGGGTGAGACCCGTGGGAAAGAGATGCGCGGCCGCTGGATGCACGGTACCCACGGGCACCGGCAGCGGGACCGGGG